CTTGTAGAATCAGAAAGTCATCAAGTGACCTAAACCAAAAATAAAAAAAAAGAAAGAAAGAAAGAAAAAAAAACCGACTAGGGTGGAGGCTTGTCAGAAAAACAGGATCCGACCTACAGGAGCGCCCAGTGGCCTGAGCTGCAGCAGCAGAATAATGGCGGTAGCGTTGGGTGAACAGCACAGAGGATGAAATAAGTATCCGGGAGTCCATCCTAACATAAATAAATGATCGATTAAACAGAAAGATGGAGCAGTGAGCGCTCATCCTTGCAGTGGAATTCTGATTAGCAGATGCAGAAGGAAGGAGGGACGTTGCCGTGACCATGAGGCCAACCTTGCCGTGGCCAGTGTCGCGGACACGGACGGGCCCAGGACCGTGGAGACGTGCACGGGCTGTGGGAGTTTGGGTCTTCCAAGGCGCTTGCTTATTCCGTCTAAGTTGTCAGATTTATTGACATGAACTGTTCATAAATGTTCCGTGTTGTCCTTGTAATATTCGTGTGTCTGTAGTTAATCCTGTCACCGTCGGTGCCGTTCACTGCGTCTTCTCTGTCTCTCTTGACCGGCCTGGCTGGAGGTTTACTAATTCTGCTGTCTCAGAGAATCAGCTTTCAGTTCCATCGATTTTTCTCTTTTCTGCTTCATTGATTTCTGCTCTTTGTTATTATCTTTTCTTCTGCTTATGTTGGGTTTAATTTGTTCTTTTTCTAGTTTCTTAAAGTGAAACCTAAGGTCATGGAATCGAGGCCTTTTCTAATGTGGGCATTTGGTGCCGTAAATCTCCGTCTAAGCACTGCAGATTTTGATATGTTTTTATGCTCATTCATTGCAAAATAATTTCTAATTTCTGTTCTTCTTTGACTCAACAAAGTGAGTTATCTAGTTTATAAATATTTGGGGTTTTTCAAATATATTTCTGTTATTGAATTCTAATTTAATTTCAGTTTAGTCAGAGAACATACTTTGCGTGACTTGACTTGAGCCCTTTCAGATTTACTGAGATTTGCTTTACGGCCCCAAAGATGCTCTATCCTGGAAAATGTTGTGTGTGTTAACAAGGAATGTGGAGTATGTATGTTTGCTGCTGTTTGCGGAGTGTCTATAAATGTCGTTTTGGTCCAGTCTTCTCTGTTCTTACTAATTTTCTGTCTACTTGTTCTAACGGTCACCTAAGAGCAGGGTGTTGCAAATTCCAGCCATAATTGTAGATCTGTGCACTTCTCCTGACACTTTTACTACCTTCTGCGTCAGGTGTGAAGCTGCGTTGCCAAGTGCGTGAGTGTTCCGGACGCCGCGCCGTCCTGGTCGGCTGACGCTCTGTCATAGTGAACGAGCCTTCGGTGTATCTGGTGATATTTGTTCTTTAAAATTTGCTTCGTCTCATACTAATATAACCATTACAGCTCTCTTCTGATTAGTGTTTGCATGACATACATTCTTCCATCTTTACTTTTAATCAATAAATGGGTCCCGTGTCAGGAGCATGTGGTTGGGTCTGTGGTGCTTGGGGAGGGTTGATTTTTGGGTTGTCAGACACGCGACCTCCTCTCTCCAGACCATTTTAGTCCTGCCTACGGGTTCCTCTGCGTGCTCTGGCGAGGCGGGGTCTGGCTTTCATCCAGGCTGACAGTCTCTGCCCTTTACTTGGGGTGCGCAGACAGTTGGATAGGTTTAGGGGTCCCTGATTCTGTGACTCAGAAGCTTCAGTTCTTCCTTTTGTCCTCTTCCGTCAAACTGTCGGCACCTTCTTTTTTAAAGGTAAAATTCTTCGTTTACTGGCCTTATTTATTAGAAATATAATGTGTGTTTTTTAAAACTCTGGTCGTGTTTTTCTTAGAGTTATTACTGATTTTTGTGGTGCCCTGGTTATGAAATCTCATAGTTTGGAATAGTCTGCTCCAACTTTATTTTGTTATAAGCCCTGGTATTTTTAGTATGCAGTTTTGCAGAGAGTGAGGTTTTTCTAGAACGTATACACTGTGCTATAGTGGAAACTCCAGTGTTCCGTTTAACCTGCAGTTGGGAGAAGAGTCCGTCTGTCTGGCAGCGCTGCATTAGTCGAGAGCCTGCTAGACACCGGGCATTTGGCTGGGAACCATGCGTGTCAACTTGCCAGGGTTGCAGCTCCAAGAAGCGAATTTAATCAGGATTAAAGCGAACACAGAGCGGGGTAGGAGCGAGCACACACAGCCTCTTGGCAAACTTCAGGTCCACACTCGAGCCGTTCTTACTTGAACATCAATAAAAAGATAAATAAACCTTGGGACGTGTCAAAAAAGTATCCCAGAATGTGGGGAAGAGGGAAATACCCTGAAATGCCGAAGAATCTACCTCTGAAAACGACTCACAGTCTAAATCAGAGCAAATTCTTTTCAGAAGACTGTGGCTAGAGAAGACCTGGCTCGGCACAGAGAGGCAGAGGGGCGTGAGGCGGGGCTGGGCCGTGTGGAAACGGGGATGGGTGAGCTGTGAAGGGCGGTGGTTGAGAACAAAGAGTTTCAGGCTTAATTAAAATCTGTATTAGAAGCCATAAAGAATCAAAGTGGTATTGTGGAAAATACCAGCAGTGATGGGGAGAGCATGCCGGAGAGGCTGCCTGGGAGAGCAGAGTGAACAACAGAGGTGTCGGTGGACAGAGGCCAGATTCGCCGGAGGGGGTCCAGCCACACAGCATCAGAATCTCTGAAGAAGCCAGAACAAGCCTAACAAAAATTGTAATCAAAGACGTAATTGAAGAACATTTTCCTGCATAGAAAGCAGATCTATGTGTATTGCAAGGGTCATGTTTTGAGCAAAATAAATACAGAAACCTCTCCTTATACATCTCTGACAACATTTTTGAATGTCAGGATTAAAGAAAAAAAATGCTAGCAGAACCAGGCAGAAGAAAATGACGACAGCAACATCAAAACTTCACCTCCGGCCGGGCGCGGTGGCTCACGCCTGTAATCCTAGCTCTCTGGGAGGCCGAGGCGGGCGGATTGTTTGAGCTCAGGAGTTCGAGACCAGCCTGAGCAAGAGCGAGACCCTGTCTCTACTAAAAATAGAAAGAAATTAATCAGACAACTAAAAATATATAGAAAAAATTAGCCGGGCATGGTGGCGCATGCCTGTAGTCCCAGCTACTCGGGAGGCTGAGGCAGAAGGATTGCTTGAGCCCAGGAGTTAGAGGTTGCTGTGAGCTAGGATGACGCCAGGGTACTCACTCTAGCCCGGGCAACAGAGTGAGACTCTGTCTCAAAAAAAAAAAAAAACCAACTTCACCTCCAGGGTTTTACCTGTAGAGGAGCTACGGTTACGTTGGACTTGGAATTCTCTACAACGCCGAGGGTGGCGCAGCATCTAAAGATTGTGAGGGGGAATGTTTGTGACCTAGGACTTCTATACCCAGCCGAGGTGTAGTGTTTGGGTGAAGGGTACAGAAGAACCACCTGAGATTTGCAAGGGTTTGCAAAATATGCCATCTGTGTTCCCTTCAAGAAATGATGTTTCTTTCTGACCAAGAGATGAATAAAGATTCTGAACCCGAAGATAAATAAGTCACTGTGCTTTCTAAGGAAATTACCAAAAACAGAACATTTGTCATAAAGATATTAATCACAGAGTTGTAAATAGTAACAAAGTGGAAACCCCCTATCCAGCGTAGGGGGTGATCCTTTACATGATGAATCGGTTCAGGTTCTTCAGTTATAAGCAACTGGGAAAAAAAAAATTCTAGACTAACCAAGAGAAGGAATTTGTCACACTATTGAAGAGATGAACACAGAAGCCTCCAAAAGCACTCGGCCAGGATGGGTCAGGGAGGCTCAGTGGCAGGAGTTCTCGGACTTGTCCCCGTGGGGCTCTTCTGTTTAGCATCAGGCTTAACCGGAGAGAGCATCCGGCGAGCTCAGCCGGTGTCCGTTCCGCCCCTTGGTCGCAGGCTGTGCCCTGCAGCAGGCTCAGAGCCTCCTCCTGACATGGTGGAGGGGTCGGGGTGGGCAACTGTCACGTGGAATAGGAAACCGCCCTTCTCAGTGATGCTTGCCAGGTGCTGACAACACTGGGAGATACCTGGCTGTAATGGCACAAGGAGGACGGGACAGACAGCTGCACGGCAAGCAGCTTGCATGGGCAAAGGCAGCCAACAGCCGCAAGGAAACACGTCAGAATACGGCCAAGTGCTCGCCTCTGCGTGACGGCGTTTTGAACACTCTGCTGTGATGAGCATGCATTACTCTATAATCACGAAATTAAAAAAACCTGAGAAAATAGTGATTATGAAGAGGGAAACGTGGGGAACCATTAAGGTATGATGTTAAGTGAGAAAGCTGAATTTAACGCTGAAGTCTGTGGCTGCGGAGACTGAACACGAGTATCTGCGCACGTGGGCTGGTACAACCGCAGAACGACGTGGTGTGTGGTGGGCACGGGCTGAAAGTGATTTTCCTTTTAAAAAGTTTTCTGTTTATTTCATAAGATAATGTAATTTAGAAAAACTTTATATTAGAGTCTGTTGCTTCCTCTCCAAAGCCTGAGGATGAGGAAACTTCCGGGAGGGGTGAGAGTGGTGCCCCTAGATCAGAGATTTTCAACGGGGAGGGGGGGTGATTTTCACCCCAGGGGACATTGGTCACTCTCTGGAGACATTTGTAGTCATGACGCAGGGCGTGCTACCGGCATCTAGTGGGTGGGGGCCAGGGATGCTGCTCAATATCTTATAATATATGGGGCAGCCCCCAAACCCCACAACTAAGTATCCATCCCCAACGGCAGCAGTGCTGGGGTTGAGAAGCCCGGCTTTCCGGAGACATTTCTACACATGTACACGATTTACTAACAGGAATCCCAGCTGGTTCGCATTTGTCGAAATGATTCCTGTGGATCGTTTTATCAAGCCCTGGTAAAAACCAGTGCAAAGCGAAGTCATTGCTTCCTCAGTTCGCTGTTGCTCTCCAGATGAAAACTTCACGTGGTAACTGCGTCTCTTTTCTGTCTCTAACCACGCAGGTCCGTCTTGGGAAGCTGGCTGAAGACTCTGCCTTCCTGTTGGATTACTTGGTTCTCAAGACCTGGCCAGTGAGACTCGGGGTTTGCGCGGTTGTGACCCAGCCTGCCCCGTTGCCGTCCTTGTATGAGTTGCTGGACGCTCGGGGCTCTTTGGAGCTGTCGTCTGCGTGGAGATTTTGAGCCACTTCGAGCTGCTTCCGGGCGCAGAGGCTGCTCGCGATGAGCTCCCAAAGCCATCCAGGTGAGGGCCCTTCGCTCAGGCGAGAGCCGGGCTTGCTTAACGAAGCGCGTTTCTCCTGACGGCGGCGCGATCTCTGGATGTTAGACGTTTGTTTTTCTTGATTGTGGTCACTGTTAGCGTATGACAGCACCACGTGCAAAGTGGGTGGTTTATTCTTCGTCGTGGTGAAGGAAAAAGTGACAAAGCCCCAGAGGATTCGGGGTACAGTCTTTGCCCTGATTCACAGGCCGACTGCAGCGGCACTCACGGTTCTCGGGTGGCAGGAGAAAAGAATTGCTCTTTAGCAAGGGTGATGTTTCTAGGTCCACTGGTGATTTGGAGAGTTAATTTCTTACCCACTGTCTTTGTTTCTTATCGTGGGGGTAGTTTGAGGGGGGGGAGCCCCTGCCACTGGGCCCCGTCTGACCTGGGAAGAGGAGGCGTGTGTCCCCACTCACAGGCGATGGCCACGGGAGTAGCTCCTGGTGTTGGCGTGTTTTTTATTAGGTGTCGTGCTAAGCGTTTCACAAGCATTTAGTGTTCACAACAGCCCCAGCTAATCTCAGACCCGGAGGGAAGAAGTAACTTGTCTGAGGTCACAGAGCTGGTAAGTGGTGGCTGAATGGGGTGGGAACCAGCTTGTCCTGCTCGGACCTTCAGAAGCGTTATCATGGGCACGTACGTTTAGGACGTCACTCTGTGTCCTTGGAAAGTCACTGCGCATACACCGTAATAAAGTCTAAAGAGTCCCGCCCCCGTCCTGCCCAGCAGGTGAGGGCCTCCCACAGAACTCCCTCCACGTGTGGCCTGGCCTCCTGCCACTTGCCGTGCACGTGGCCTCTAGGGGCACTTAGATTTCAGCCTCTGTCGTGTGTCCACGTGAGAGGGAGGATGGTGGCCCCGGGACAGATGCTGGGACAGTTGCTTGCGGCACCCAAGTCTCTGCTGGTCTTGGCTCTGGTCTGGCTTCTTGAGCGGGGGCAGAGGCTAGCGTCTGGGTCACTCCCTTGGGGCTCGCCCAGAACCTTCACACACCTTCCCTGGGGCGGGGCTGGCTTTGTCTGAGAGCTCCCGAGGGCGTGAGTCCAGGTTTCATTTAGATATGAGGGTTTTATTGACTTAAATTACTTGTTTATCGATTGATGTAAAGAAATGGTTTATGATCATTGTAAGAAAAAATTAAGCACTTCGGGTGGAAGAGCATAAAGCAGGTGCTGAGCACGCCCAGCTCTCCCCCTGCTCGGGGCGGGCTGCCGCTGGCGTGGGCGCGTGTCTGCTTCCCGCGTGTAAACGTGCAGGGTTCGTGTGTGAATGTTTCAGTAGGGTGCAGTTCCACCTGTGGGGGTCTGTGTTTTACGTTTTGTCTGTTTTAATGAGTTGCGAGCATCTTTTGATGTTGGTGTATATGTAAATCTAACTTACTCTTTTTGACGGCTGATAAACGGACGGTCACGTGGCTGCAGCACTGTTCGTAACGGCTCCACGCTGGCGTCAAACAGTTGCCATGCGTGTGTGTGCGCTGCTGTAAGTCTCCGCGCTGGACACGTCCAGGACGTGGACGTGGGGCCAGTGAGCGTGTGCACTCGGACATCTCTGTGCTTCCTGTCAGGTTGCCCCGAACCTCGTCTCAGCTGGTCTTGCCGACGCAGTGTGCGAGCAGTTTTCTTCATTCACACTGTCCCGGCACTGGGTAGCTCTAGTTCATTGTCGTCAGCGTGCTGGGTGGGCAGGGGGGGGACTATTGTTTGAACTCATACTACTGTTTACATCCAGGTGCATATTTTTGAATGACGTGGTGTAGACGTAATCAGCTTTTGTACACGTTACCCAGGCATTTGAAGAGAAAATATGCTCTTGTTATTTTTGGTCTAAAGAAGTCTATACGTATGTATCAGTGCTGTATTTAAAGTTCTCTCATTCATACATTTTATACTTTTATATATAGGAGTATGTATTTTTTTGCATGTTTTATGTATGTATAAACCCCCTTGAGTCATTCAAATCCATACGCTTCACTCATTTTTTTATCTTCTCAGTTTCTTGGAAAAGTGAATTTTTTTGTTTTGATTATAGTTTTATAATATTCTTTTTACCTTATTAACTATTTTTTGCTTTATATATTTTAGTACTTTTTTCAGTGCTTAAAAACTAATGATTTCTTTTGGTAGACTAGGACTGTTATCGAGATACAGTCTATTTGGCCTGGCGCGGTGGCTCATGCCTGCAACCTGAGCACTTTGGGAGGCTGAGGTGGGACTGTCACCTGAAGCCAGGAGTTCCAAGACCAACCCAGCCAACATAGCGAGACCCCCATCTCCACAAAAAAGTTAAAAAATTAGCTGGGCATGCTGTGTGCCTGTAGTCCTAGCCACTCGGGAGGCTGAGGCAGGAGGATCGCGTGAGCCCAGGAGTTGGAGGTTGCAGTGAGCTGTGATCGGGCCACTGCACTGCAGCCTGGGTGACAGAGTGAGACCCTGTCTCTAAAATAAATAAATAGTCTGTTTCTCTTTGTTTAATGTTTCTTTATCCAAAAGTTTATTTTGTTTACTTGGTTTCCTTTGGCTAACATATATCGTATCTCTTCCTCGCATAACTGTAACATCTCAGACGCTTTCTCTAAGGTTTATCTCTGAACCGTAAACAGCAGGGTGCTGGGTCTTGCCTTTTGTGTGAGACCTTGGCCTGTTGGCCTTTGCTGTCACCGCGGGCCTGCCTGGCCTCGTTCTGCCTGGGCCAGGTCACCTGTGCTTTGTCGCTTGCCCCCCACCCCGGTTCTCGTGTCTCGGTGGGTCTGAGACGGTGGAGACAGGCTGAGCGGGCTGGAGCAGGGCTGCCCCACGGTGTCTGCCGTGTCTGTTGCTGGGGTTGTCTGTCGGGGCCTGCAGCCTGCTGGGTGCCCCCACTTCTCTCTGCAGCCCTCACGCATCCCTCAGGCATCTGCGCTTCCTCCCAGAGGCGAGGCGCCCCAAACGGCGTGCGGCCACACGCAGCACCCGGCCCTCGGGCCCCCGGCCCCCGTGGCGGCTGATGTCTCCCAGCACCGTCCGCGGCACGGCCGCCTGGTGCGCGGGCTCCTCGCTGGCCAGCGCTTCCTCGTCAGTTTGATCCCATCACGTTTAGAGTTCCCGGAAAATTCCTCCAGGTTTCTTGTCAGTGGCTGCACCTGTCCACCCTGTGAGCGACGCTGTGAACACTCTCGCAGTCTTGTTCGTATGTCAGGGTTCCAGTGGATTTGGGGGGCAGGAGTGGTGAGAGCCGAGTCTCAGGCAGGACGTTTCTGGACGCATCCCAGCGAGGCCGCGGACGTCCTTCCCCTTCCTCGGGCCGAGCAGAGGAGGCCTGTGCAGCCGCAGCGTCGCGGGCCGCGCTGTGTCAGTTTGTCCTGGCCGGTGCCCCCCGCTGGCCCCCCGCGGCGCCCACGGTGTGCCCCGGCTCCCTGGCACGCAGGCCCGTGGGGCAGCTGCCCTGGGTCCCCTCACGCTTTCGGTGTACTTTGGCTTTGCCGTTTGACGTGTGTGATTTTCCCCTCCCTGTTTTTCTTCAGCCCGGCGCTGGGTGAGGGAGGGCCGCGTTTTATTGCCGGTCTCCGCACTCCGCCGGAGCCAGGCCCGGGCTCTTGACGTCAAAGCCGCTTAACTGTCGGGATTTTATTGCTCCAAGTGACCATGTCTAATGATGTGAGCAGCCCCAGGAAAGGCCCGGATTGGTTCAGCTGAGAAGAAGGCTTTGAAAAGAGGCTCTGAAACACCACGCTGCCTGCCCTGCCCGCTCCACGCCTTGCCGGGGACGTGCCCACGCAGGTCGGGGAGTTTAGCAGGGCGCAGAGCCTCTGCCGGGAGGGTGGGTCCCGGAGCGAGTCCGCGGGAGCGTGGAGGGCACCCCTGTGGGCCGGCTGGCGGGACGAGCGAGCGCGGCTCCTTTTTCTGTGCCTCCCTTTGTTTTCCTCCGGTAACTGGCTCTCCTCATCTCCCTCGTGGCTACGGCGTGCCCAGGACACTGGTAACTGGCGCTGGCAGGAAAACCAGACATTGTCCCTGGGCCCCCATTTAGCACCGTCCTGTCCCTCCCATGCAATTTTCCTTCCTATCTGGAATGTTCCTGCCTAGAGAAAGTCCTGTGGAGAAGCACTCTCAATCTCGAGCCCGGTGACGGATTTGCACGTCTGTGGTCACCCAGATGTTGCTCTTGACAGGAAACTGGTTGAGCAGGCCGGTACCGAGGAACGCCAGCACCCTGTCTCTCCCGGAACCTCGGAGAGAGGTGTGGATGGGGTTTAGTTAAAAACAAAATAACTATTTTGAGGGAAACTTGTCTAATTTAAGATCAGTGTTTTAATTTGGGCCCTTCTATGGTTTCTTCACGTTCTGTTCGGTCTCCAGTGCCCAGTCCACACGGAAGCAGCTGGAGTCTGTGTCGACAGTGACTCGGGTCCGTGAGTCCAGCGTAATCTGCTTTCTTCACACCGTCGTCTGGTGTCGGTCCTGTCGGCTCGGGCTGGGCGGAACAGGGCTCGGGGCTTTCTCGGCGTTGGTGCTCTGTTCTCCCTTTGATCTTAAATCTGTTCAGTTCAACCATGTGGCCACCAAAGCTATTATATTTTAATATAGAAATTATCTCACAAACATTTTTATGGCATTTAAATCACGCTCTGCAGTAGTTGAATGTTTCAAGATACTGCAGAGTTTTACAGGGAGAAAATGAATTTTGTGGACGTGCAATTAAACGAAGGACGTTGATGCTGAGCTGCTAGTGACAGGTGGGTCGCGGACCCTGAGCAGGCCCTGGGGGGCGGCTGAGAGTCACATGGGCGAGAGTCTTGGGGGGCAGGGGTGCAGGCAGCAGGTGCAGCCGGCTGGCAGGGGTCCTGGGAGCGCAGGCGAAGAGACAGGGCCGAGTTCACGCCCCTGAGAAGACTGGGAGCAGCCCGCGACAGCTGGAGAAGAATTTCATGGCCCCAGTGACCGGTGGCCCTAGTGGTTCTGGGTAGGCGGCGGCAAGACTGAGCCCCAAGGACGAGGGAG